TGTGTGCCAAATTTCAACCCGGTATCTAAAAAATTGTAGAAGTAGATGCGTGTACAAAAAATCCGTACACACACACACACACACACACATACATACATACTTCCGGACATTTTTTACTAATACGATTTTTCGACATTTTAGAACATTCTAAACCTATTTCCATCAAAATCTCGAAAAAAAATTTTTTCACCATCACAAAGCTTCCTCTATGAGGAAGCAATATATATTTGAATTTACTTTACTTTCATTTATATAATGATATTATAATTTCATGAGTAATTTTTAAATATTATTTATATTTTATAAATAATATCAGGTAAATAGGAAATACTATTTTTTCACGTATGATACGTGAATATATCATAATTAATTACATGTCTAAAAATCTCAAGATACATTATTTGCGTCGATGTCGATTTATATCGATAACCAAATTTTCAAAGTGGAATTGTCATTCAAAACAGGACCAATAAGTTCCTGTTTTAGAATAGTAACCTCCTAGCACAAACTCGATAAAATCCAAGTCTATATGTGAAGCTCGATGCAGAATATAGAGCGATCTATTAACTTGCACGACCAGACATTTGACATATCCTGGTTAGGAAAAAGTAAACCAGATACCACACTATCTCTGGTCCCTATCCCTTTCTGATAAATGCCTGTACAGATAGGATGGGAAAACCACGAGTTTGTATATCCATAACTGATATCGACACTGATAGTGATACGTGTCAAGATCTGCCAGCTGCAAACTGAATAAAAGCATGTCGCGCACAGCTCAACTGAAGTGCATCCGGTGCATCTATCGGGACGCATCGCGTTGAAACGAGGATTGATATGTAACATAGGTCCGATTTCGTCGGGGCTCACTGAGGCGCGACGTTAAGACGATAATAGAATTTTCATGTAATCCTTAGTAATTCCCTTGCGGTCGCGCAGGAACCCACGACGTGGACTCCCTTGGCGAATGCCCACCTCTCGGGACATATGAACAGGAGAAGTGCTCATTGTTCCCCCTCTCTATCTGTCACGCGACGCTTCTTGTACCCGCTTTTAAATTCCCTCGAGGGTTAATTGCCCGATGTTTTGACGCGCGAGTTATCCGCAAAAGGTTTTTATTTTTTATGGCTGGCCAGTTACTAGCGGCGAGCTCGAAGTGCTCCAACTATTTCGCTGTCCGCCGTTTCGTGAGATTGCACAAACTCGAGAATTTGCATGGACAAAAGCGAGGAAATCAAATTTTTAGAAGTAAGAATTTATCTGTATTATTCTGTTATACATCGATTACAAAACTGAAAGATTTTTTATTATATAGCGTGAGTTTTAGGATTGCTTTTTTCGGATTAAGCACTTATTAGATTTATGATTATTATTATTTCGAGTATAGTAACTTTTAATTTTTTACATTCAAAGTTAATTATATATTTTTTTAAATCTACTTTTATATTGTAGTTAATATAAAATATTTTTGGTAATCCAATTATCAAGATTTTGTGCATATATAATTTAAGTAAAAAAAGTTCTTAATAATTTTGTCTCAGAAATTTAGTTTATTAAAGACAACGACTAGTTGTATACAATTCAAAAACTGTCTTATTTTACCGATATTTAATATTTTTGTTTAAATTGTTTGCTAATTAACCGGAAAATCTATTATTAAAACTACCGCTGGATAATTCTAAAATAGCCTTTATGTACCAACAGTCGTGTATGGTCGATTGCGGTGACATATTTCGCGAATTATTCAGTGGATTATTATTTCGCAACGCGGCATGTAAGCGGATTTATTAATACGTTTAATATGTCTACCAATTCATCAGGTTTGTGATGGTAATATCATCACCATGATACACTGTATCATACCGCGACGTATGTGCTTACAGAAGCGGTCAGTATTTACGCAATGCAATTCTATGTTGTTTTAATTAATGCGTCTCGTCCGCTTTGACGCACTGCGCGGAAGATTGCGCGTCTCTCTTCCTCTCATTCCCTTTCGTTCGATAAATTTATATATGTGTAAGCTATTTTCGGCTGATGTACGGTGATAAATTGGATCAAAACCGGGATTGAACGATGAGGTCCTCTGCACACAGTTTTCATATCATGTCGGTGGAAAAATGCTAATCAGTGTATTAATTCGCTCAACATAATATACTATCGATATAAGGTAATAAATTGTTGCTCTTGATTATTGTTTGGAATTCAAAACTTCCTTTTTAAACAACTAAATTTTATGCAAGCACACTGATTGCATTTCTTTATTAATCTTTTCATTTTAATCGCCGTAATCATTAATTTAAATATCCATTTTGTTATAATTATTACATATTAAAAATAAAATCGAGATTTTTTTCATAAAATAGCTCACAAATTGCTCTCCTCCCTCTCCGCGTTACTTTAATTAATCCTTCCACTATTTTAAATTTCCAGAAGGGAAGTCGCCAAAGCTAATCAAAGGAGCATGATGAAGCGGAGGAAGCGTATGTCAGCCTCTCGCCTGACGCGAGATAATAAACCGAATCGATCCCCCCTGCACGAAAGTCGCAAGAAAACTCTAGCGCGGGGCGGAAACTCGTGATTTCTGACTTCACGTGCTGCTTTCCTCATCGCTCTCACGCGTCCGGCAATCTGTACCTTACGGAGGGTTACCTTCCCGCAGTCATCTTTTCGAAAAACGCACGACTACTCCAATTGCACTCTCACCGTGCGCAACAGAGGGTGAGTACTTGCACGGGCAGGGATGCAAGTGCTCCGGCGAGCAACGACCTTGGTGCGCGGGGCTCGTGCCGCGCGCGCGTTCTTATAATGTTTTTCCAGAATAAATGGGCTTTCCGCTGGGCGCGGCGGTGGCGTCGGTTCCATGGGGTTCCCCGTAACCATGGCAACCCCGTAACGCCATTAAGCGGGCACGGGGTTTCTCTCCCCGGCGCGGAGGGTATCTCCGGCAGGAGCAGGAGACGAGAGAAGGCCGTAACACACCGCCCGCGCGCCGTCACCCTCCCTCGCTCCCGTTCGACTATCCGAACTCGTTCCTCTCCTCGTCCGTTCCTCAAGTTCTGGAAGACCACGGCGCGCGCGGGAGTGAGTGCGGGAGAAGAAGGAAAACCCCATAAAAATAAATAACTCGCGAGTAGTAGCGGTATAAAGGTGATACGCTGCTTTCCCCCCCGGTTTCAGCCTCTCGTCGTCGGCGCGATCCACCAGCCTAAAATACTATACGCCCAACAAGTCGAGTAACACGCTATATTGTATCACACTGTCATTTGCTAAATGTGCGTAAAGCTATTAGGGACGATTAGGGCGATTGCGTCAAAAGAACGATTTTATGGCGCTAAATCTGATGGTTGTCGTAAATTTATTTATGATAGCTATATAATATGTAAAATATTACGGTACATTACTCCAACATTCAATTACTCAAATTCTAACTGTTCAAATATCCATAGAAAAACCTCTTTTAGCTAGCTTAGATCGCATTGGTTTTTATACATGCGTGGATATATTTGTAGATTTTATAAGAGCAATCATTTTTCTTATATTTGAAATTTTGTAGCATATTCAAAATCTATGTGAAGTAGTAATGGTAGTTCAACTTGTTTAGTGAATAGGTACGTTTATATTTAGTTTAGACCAAAATCGACCAGCCGACTCGTTGCCGCGGGGAAACCTCGTTCTCTACGCCACCCCCGCTGGGCTTTAGTAATGTGATAGCGGGTTGTATACGCACAACGGATATATATAAAACGGGAGTAATACGAAGCGAGTATACCCTGACTTCTGCTGTTACGTGGGTGGGTGCCCTTATTAAAACGACCCGGTGACGTGTTGTCGCATGAGCTGCAGTATACGCAAGATCCGTCTGGAAATTTATGATTCGCTGATGCGGCTTATTTGTCCGCGAACTTTTGTGGCACTCGCTTCAATTGACGATCGATGAATCGTATACCGGCAAAACAAACGAAAAATTTCGTTACAGAGCGAACGAAATTTGTGTTATAATAAAGTTTTATTGAATCGTCCTGATTCCAACTCGTATTTACCGTACAGGAAATTTATCATGATAAAATTTTCACACAATGCATTCGGCGTGACAATGGGCCGCGAGTTACATCATGAAAAGATTCCACTATACAATTCACGTGCGTAATTTATTTCATGATAACGAGAAATTCGGAACGTCTAATCATTTAATTTTGGGCAGTTGTGCGCGTTCGATCAGCTCTACGACGAGAGCATTTATTTTCCAAGGAAGGGAAAAAGGGGAAAGGCAAAATGAAAGGAAATCGATAGAACAATTATGAAAGTTTTGCGGCGTGAATCACGGCTTCGGGCCGGACGCGCTGGTTTTTAATCTCGGTTACAGTTTTAAATCGTGCCTGAATAAAACAACAGATTTTTCAGTTTTTCGGCGAAAATTAACCGAGACCCGCAAACATTTTAGAACGGAGAGGACGCGACATGCTTTTAACATTTTATAACGTTTCGCGATGATAATGGAATGGTTCCATTCCGCTTTCGCGCTCGTATTTACATTAATAACGCGAAATTATTCGCCTCGGTGAGGCATTTTAAGGAATTAGCAATTTATTTTGCACTCGCACGTTTTCCGAAATTTACGCGTTTTCATAATTAGTGTTGAGTTAATATTGCATTGCTGCACATTCTTGTGCATTCATATAGTCGTATAATGAACGATTAAGAGAAAGAACAGATCCCAACAAAATTACTAATTTAACCTTTTTTGAATTACAAACGTTATGACACTTTCGCCAACGTTTTTTCTGAAAGTAAATTATCGGATTGTCCAGATAATAAAGGATGTGTAGTTCTTATTCTGAATACTAATTATAAGCAAAACAAGTATTTGCTTCAAATTTCATGCTAGACGCAGTCATATCTGTAATAATAATTTCTATGTATTCCACTAATTGGCATGATTTAAAAGAATTATTATGCAAATTAGCGAAACGTATACATTTCAAATTAATACGCAATAATCCATTGTTGTACGCACATTCTATTTATCCATTTAAATAATCAAAATCTACATAAGACCTCGCTGTTATTAATCCAGTATTTACAAGTTCAATTTAAATACATAAACTTCGTGAAATTTTAAATAGCGCATATCAATATTCACACAATTATATGCACTGCGCGCACCAAATGTGTGCTCTCTAAATTTGTATAATGTCTGCCGTTATTTTCCATGCTTTTACAACTTTATGAAAATTACGTAAAATTTATCACCCGCAATTATTCGTTTCCCCATCGTTCAACGACGACATTTCGACGGACTTTCGCTAATTTCATCCCGTCGCTCGTTCCCAAGTCGAGACAATGTATTCGATGATCGTTAAAGGACAACAAAGGGGAGGCAGGGACCGCGCCGGGGATTCGATAGAACAATTACAAAAGTTTCGTTTACTTGGGCGCCCTATGGAACCGCTCCCCGAGAACACGGTACGATAGTAGTTAAGTAGGTCGATGGTGATAAATTCGATCTGTCCTCCATATACGGAAGCGGAGCCACCGAAATTCCGTTGGTTATCTGGCCGCTGCCGTTGGTTATCCGTCGAATAATCTCGGCGCGCATAAATCGCCTTCGCCCATTCTCGCTTAATGGCTGCATCGTCGTGCAACACCCTAGGAAACAAATTAAGTGCCACGCGTACGTCCGTCTTCTCGTCTTTCCTTCTCCCTTCGTCGCATTCTTCTTCTGCGTCACTCTATGACGCATCCGCGAAAGAAACGAACCGGAACAAGCTCTTAGCGACACGTGAGCCCCTTAGTTCCAAAGTGTTTGAAGTCCAGCTCGGTAATCTTGATTAGTACACTAGGAATGCATTTTAAAAAGCTTCTACACGATCTACTATGCATCCTACTTTATAACTAATTTTCTAGTGTGCGAGATGTTTATTGAAAAATATTCTAAGAATTTTGAATAAATTTTAAGCCAGTTTCTTTTTAGCAAAAATTTTCAGACACACGTTTATGTATTTTAGGTCGAAAATGATAATTTTACTTAATGATCGGGAATAAAACTGACTGATAAAAGTTTCAAAAGTTTTCCAAATCGATGTGCTTTAAAGAAAAATTAATTTCAGCTTTATATTATTTTTTTACAAATCTCACTTTTATTTCCATGTAACATGATTTCTTATAAGTTCCTGTCTAAAATTTTTATTTTACGAAAAGATCGGTACAAATTGGTTTACGCTTAATCGGTTCATGCGCGCAATTTGCGCTATTTCTGTCGAGCTACGACGTTGTCACGACAGGATTCTGAACGGCAAATCGATACTCGCCGTTTGCTATTTAAAGTTTCCTCTCGGCGAGAATCTTCGGCGGCGACACGCTCTTTGGAAAAAATCTGAGCACGTTAAGCACGTAAAACGACGATCCTCGGCAGCGGAAGCCATATTTTATAGTTAGTAAATTCTATGGTAATGACGTCGCTGTACTGAGCACGAGGGCTTGAAATTTATTCATACTAAGTAGATAACAGGATTTTCACGGTACCGTACTGGTAAGAAGATAGTGACGTCGTGGAACTTCGGTAGGCCCGCTAGTGAATTGCCACTCAATATTGCCCTGTTAATAAGTATTATAGAATCTTGACAAGTCTGATTTCTCATGTTGTCGTAAATTACGCGGTTCGAGATAATGGTACATTATAAATTCATATGGAACAAGCTATTTTGATGAACGTTTTCGAGTTTTCAAAATCAGGTGACATTATAAATGTAGTTCTGGTTTTATTGATTTCTATAACTGAATGTACAACTTTCATTATTTAAATGTTTTGAAATTTTTATAAAGAATATCTGGAATTTGAGAACAAATTTTATTGGATTTTGATATAATTCTTCTTTGATGGATAGAATGGTTTATCTATAAGTTTGTAAAATTTTTGCGATAATATTATTTACCATAATTCGATACGCAAATTATTATTTTCATAAAACAATTTCCAGAGATTAAGGTATATCTTTCGAGCTCACGAAGAGAGAACGCAATCTTCCGGCTAACTTTGTCGTTGCACGGAAAATGTAGTTCAGGAAACAGCCGATATCTCCCCCCCGTTGCTTAACGGATTTTCTTCGAAGTGAAGACACTTATCCCGCGATACTTCCTACCTCGATATACGACTTCGATCGAGGCTATAAGTTTTCTTTAGTTGCAGGTGTACTCGAACGTTGCCCGCATCCGTGGCTGTAATTTGTAAAATAAATGTACGAGCTTGAGTTTCCTCCCTTCCTAAACCAGGGCCTTGTGCTTTCGAGCTTTTCGACTTTCACGCGCGATTTAGATCCGATTCGATTTAATGCTCCCTCAAAGTATAAGTGCTCGCGCAGAGAAGAATGGCGCAACTAGAGGTAGGCGCAAAGCTGAAGTGGAAGAAATTAACTAAAATGAATTTTTACTATAACTTATTCAGTTATAATTCAAGCTTTTATTCACGAAAAGCATGTTAATCAGCGCGATTGTGGACGCCGTGTTATTAGAATAATCGCTACTTTTAATTAGTTCGCTCTCTGCACACTTGCAATTCGCAGGACATTCGACATTTTTGGTATCATACTTCTTTTATCGTAATAATAGGTAAAAGAGATAGGAACCAAAAGAGCTGACAGTCCACTTTTATGCCGCTGGCGCGAATAGCTAAGTGTTAACTTCGCCATTCGAATTCAGTGATTCGCGAAACTTCGCGAGGC